CGACCGTGCCTTTGGTCGCCCTCCCACCTCTCTGCCTTCCCTCACCCCTACACCAACCCTCCCCCATGCTCGGGTCCCAACACCTGCCTGTTCAGCACTTTGGGACGTCCTCCCCACATGAAAGGCGCTCTATAAATGTAACTTTGTTGTTGTGTTGTGGTGGTGGGACATTGCTGTGCGCAATTGGCTGCCGTGTTTCGCCAACAAAATATACAGTTACTATATTTTATAGTATATTCTGTGAAGCGCTTTGAGATGGCTTGACAACGCAATAAGGCACGATATCAAATACAAAGATTATTATCATAATAATAACTGAGCCTGGATGTGATTAACAGAAGTAAAGTTACTTTTGATATCTTAGTAATGGTAATATCATAGCAGTAGTTGATTCTTGAACCTCAATGTTGTGTGAAATAAAATCTTTGTACAAAAACAGGTAGCCTGGGAGTATAAAATTTCTTGGCAATAATGGTGATGTAAGGATCATTTTTTCATATAAATAATAGTGGAGTCGATTGTCATTATTTGTATAATCAAGTCCCTCCATTCGTTGTTTTCAATTCACGATTAAAATGCAAATTTACCAACAGTCCCAGTGCAGCAGTACATAAATATTTTATTAGCTCCTTTTACTTCTGCATGCAATGATCTTTTCCTAAAACAAGAATTGTTCCACAAACATTATTATACAATGGCTGTCCCCAGCTCCCCTGCACTGGAGTTCAAAGACAGGATCTGTGCAGCCTCCAAGGCTTTTGGATGCACTTTATTATTCATCAAGCTGTTATCAGAAGGCCATTTCCGCATTCTCTCTAAATAAGGTGGAAGTGCTGGTTTTGCAAAATACAGTTTTCCATTTGTCTTTATTTTGAACCTGTATTTTAAAACACATATCATATAATAGCAGTGAGGTAACAAGCAATTTATAGCCATATGGACCAGAAGAAATGAATGTAGCATTATCTTATTCCCAAAAAGATATGTGCAGAAACAGTCTATAGCCATGGCTACTGTCTTACTGGCTTTCCTGCAGAACTATCGCACTGAAATACCCGAGTAACAGACGACTCTGCCCGAGCATTTGAAAATAAGTAAATATAACATTTCCCTTTGAGGGTAATTTCTCTTTGTTTGGATTTTTATTTAGCAGTGATTTTCATTTTTGAGCATGATAAATGGCTTGTGCATATATTGCTCGTGGCTGTTCTCTTCCACTTTTCCTCATGTAGACGTGCCCTGATAAAGACATCATGTGCCAATTGCCAACCCCAGCAATCTTCTCATTGCACATATACAGAGTCAGCTAGCATTGGTGGTGAGTGCCTTCAGTGGGTATCGAGGTGCAAAATAGAAAAGCATTTGCCACTTTGAAGGAGCATTACCTTCCTGATGAAAAAGAGGTTTAATAAATATTTTTCTTTCCCTCCTTGTGGAGGAAATAGACCATGTAATGCTATATAGCCTTTGTATTACAGTATGTCCTAGACAAATGACATAACAATGTGCTTACACACAAATTAAACCTATGGAATAAAAACAATTTACCAATCACTTTTTCCTGAAGGCAGCGCTCCTTTAAGAAAACCTAGATGTCAGTTGTAGTTTATTTTACAATGCTTACATGAAAACAACAGAGATCTGCTGCAGGAGCACATTATCTGTCTCGCTGCTGGCTGCAGTACCATTCCATTTTAAAATTGCTTTGAACTCTAACTGCTGCTGAAATATTTTTGTTTAGCTGTACTAGTTGCTCAACTGCTGGATTGTGTGTGGGGAGAGAAGCTGGGTAGAGGGAGTTTCTGACTCCAAATTATAAGCAACATTGGAAGATTGGGTTTTATGATCATTTGTCAAAAAATAAATGTCTGGGTATTATGATGTGTCAAAGACAATGTCAGAGAAGGGAAGTCTCAGCTGGTGTCTTGGCCAACCGTCCCTCGAATAAAATTAATGGCTGTTTGTGGGATATAGTTAGTGGCTCATAATGGGCAGGATTTCCATTCTTTGTTCAAATCCCTCCATTCATTGTTTGAACAAGCCACAACACTGACACTTCACTAGTGGAAATCACTAATGATATTCTCTCTGACTGATATCAGGCCTCAAATTTCCCAATCATCTTTTTCATCCTCATTGCTGCTTTCTGCCCTGTTGACCATACCATTCTCCTCTATTGCCTTTCCTCCTTGGTCCTTTCCACAGAACTGCACTTTCATGGTTTAAGTTCCTACCTGTCCAAACACCATCACCGCATCTCCTGCAATACCTTCTTGTTTTGTGGCCAAACAGTATTCTTCAGCGTTTGTTTACTTGTCCTGTCCTAGTCCTCTATAGTCTGCTCCTTAGCAAAGTCATTCACCAGCATTCGTCAGCTTCCTTGTGTTTGATGATACTTCACCTCTCTGCCACAACTTTCAGTTCCAGGATTGTTGTTGTTCTGACTGACTGACATCAGCTAAATGTCAACGAGACTAAAGTCATCTTGCTTTTTTAATAGCAGCATTAGTGTATGGTTCCATCAACCCTCCTTGATGAGATGGAGCATAACTTGGTTATTGAACAAAATTTACACTGAGTTTCAAACTCCACATTCGGTTCATCTCCAAAACTATCCTCTTGTTCCTCATCCTGAACATCACTACTTACATCCTTACATCATCCCCATTGCTGCTTAATCACCTCAGCAATGGAGTTTCCATTGTTTTCACCAGAATTCCTAGCTCCACTGTCGAGAAGCTTCAAACCCATCCATCCAGGCTCCATAAACCTAATGCCTTAATCCTTGCCGCCTAGTTCCTTACATAATCAAGTTGAACGTTCTTGTCTGCTCCACTATGATCTTATAATAATAATAATCCTTGCATTTGATATAGCGCTTTTCAAGTCTTCTAGATGTCCCAAAGCGCTTCACAGAATATACTGTAAAGTGAATTGACCGTATATTTGTGGGCGAACGCGGCAGCCAATTGCGCACAGCAATGTCCCACAAACAGTCATGGATTGAAAATGACCAATTTATTATTGTTTTTTGTGTTTGTGGAAGGATTATTATTAGGCTCTGTGTGGAGTAAGGAAACTTGGCCAAGGTTCCGCCCTGCCTGGAATTGATCTCAGGTCTCTCACTTGCAAAGCGAGTGCTCTAACCACTGAGCTACAGGACTCCATCTAGCCTGCTCCCACCTATGCAATCTTCTCCAGCCCGATATACAAGCACTTTGCCTTGCTACTCTCTCTGCCTTCAAACTATTTTTTAAAACATTTCTCAGTGATCTTGCCTAAGTCAACATCTGTAAACCTCTTATTTCCCTGATACACCACCATATTTGTCAAAATGTAAATGTGTCTTGCACATTGTCTTGAAATCAAGACTCAACCAACTATACCTGTGACTCAGTAGTGAACGTACTACCAATTGAACCGAGTGTAACCAAAATAAAGAGGACTAGATAGCAAAGTGCTTTATCACATTTTCCTTTGACCTCTGAGACTTTACTTTGAATCCAGTGCAGACTGATCGCCATGGTAACTAACAATTCTACATAAATTGGTTTTAGGCCATCTATATCCAGTTCCTAATAATAATTCCTATATTTGATATAACACCTTTTACATTGGGAGGACATCTCAAAACATTTAATTGGTTTTACAGTAAAGTGAGTTGTGAGTCCACGATTCAAAGAACTTCCAGAAGTTAGCATTAAATTAAACCTAACTCATTTTGGTACACCACTGTCACCTCTGAGTCAGAATGTTTTGGGTTCAAGCTTTACATTGAGACTTGAGCTCACAGTGAGGTTGAGACAATACAATGCTGGGGGAACACTGCATTGTCGGATGAGATTTGAAACCATCTGCCTGTTCACTGGATGTTAAAGATCCCATGCTAGTAATCAAAAAAGTGAATGAAGTTTCTCCCTGTGTCCTGGTCAAGAACCCCCCAGATTAAATTGTTCAGGAACTCCATAACTGTTTGTGGAGCATTGCAGGGAGCGTATTGGCTCCAACTTACACCTGCAAATACAAACGCAATATACTTCACAGTACAATTCATGTGAAGCATTTTGAGATGTTTCAACAACATGCTGTATATGAGAGAGAAGGGAATAGAGGGGATAAAAAGGAATCGAGGCTCATGTGGAATAAAACCACCAGCAAGTGCCCATTGGATCAATAGCCTGTTTCACGCTGTGCATTTTATTAATTCTTCATCAAATGCATGGAATATTATTGCATAATTTGCAATTTCATTCATAGAAGCCATAGGTATGGGAGTCCATAGAATGAAAATGGCACACAATTAGTATATGGGTGTTCTGCATTTGGGATTAAAAAGACAGCTTTTGGCCCATTGCTATAGCTGATCTGGGAATGCTTGCGCTTGAGGTGTCAGCTTAGCTCAGTTAGTAGCACTTTTGCCTGTGAATCAGTAGGTTGTGGGTTCAAGCCCTACATTGAGTCACTGAACTCACAGTTGACACTCCAATGCAGTACTGCATTGTTGGAGGTGTCGTCGTTCAGATGAGATGTCAAATTGTGGTGCTGTCTGGCAGCTCAGGTGGGCAATAAAGTTCCCATTGCACGATCTGAAAGGAGAGAGTTTCTTCTGATGCCCTGGCCCACATAAAATTGGTCATTCACTTTATGGTTGTTTGTGGGAAATTGTTGTGCTTGAACTGGCTGCTACATTCACCTACAAAATACACAGTGACTACACTTTACAGTACACAGTACAGTACAGTGGGACACTGCTGTGCGGAATTGGCTGTCGCATTTTTCACCAACATGATAAGGTGCTATCTCAAATGCAAGGATTATTATTATATACTAAGTGGGTGTAAATATATACATAAAAATATATATAAATAAATATAAATGGGTATAAATTTGAATTCTCCATCACTGCCAAACAGTTCACAGGAAAGAATAATATATGGTGTGGATATGTTTCTTCTCTGTAAGAACTGAATGGTTTTCACACTGTGATTTATGTTTTTCAGATCATTGAAGACTGGAAGTATGTTGCTATGGTCATTGACCGTCTCTTCTTGTGGATATTTGTGTGTGTGTGCGTCGTTGGTACGATGGGACTATTCCTCCAGCCTTTATTTCAAAACCAGAACCCACCAAGTCTAACTCCCAGCGGAGGATAACCCACATTTTATTTTTGGCAGTTCTTCCACGTGTGTATTGGTCAAACTCTCAGAAAAATTATTTTTGAACTAATTTCAACATCAGACACAAAGCAACCATGCACGGTTTTACAGACCCTCAGTGAAGGTGAACTGTAACTCAGGACTACTTCTGATGCCTGCTGCTCATTTTCAAATATGAAAAGATGTATCACCGCTGCACGTTTATCTGATAATGAATTTAACATAAAACTATATTTTTATTTTCGACCAGAATGTTATATCTCTTCAAATTTTTCCCTTCAGATTTCTCTGCTATTCCTCCTGATAGTACAAATCACATAGGAGTGTTATTTCACAGGCAACATCTACTCTGCTACCTCACATTCTTTACATGTGATCTTAGACAGTGAGCGTCAGCAGGTTATCGGGGTGTGAAGGGCATCACATTTGAGCCCATTCCTGTTCTCACTCAAATTTCACACCCGCATTTCAAGCAGAGGTCAGTGGATAGCATTCAGAAGGAATAACTCATGTTAATTTTATTTCTCCCTAGCAAAGCTAACTCAGCTATTGCCTGGGACATTCCTTGTCTGTATGCTTGAGTTCCAGACAACAGTTGGGAGAGTTCCGATTTCTGTTTTCATTTGAAAGATGGATCTAACCCAACGTAATAGCCTGTGTTGGCCATGAGATCCTTTTTTGGTTACCTGATCAGAGTTATTTCCATGAAATGTTACCAAAGTAAGTTAGCATTGACTTTTAAAGGGGAAAAAGATATAGAAATAAAGTTATATATGGCAGATAATGTCACACAAGTGGAATCCCCTCTCTTGTACTGCATATCCTGCACCAGTAGTTCCCATTTCAACCCACATGCAATCTCATATTGCCTTGTACAATACTGGAACTGCTAATACAACACCATGCTCATAGAAACATGTTTGGCAAACCTTTGTTTGGGGAGATCTTGAACAGTCTTGCGTAATTTTATTTTGCCAATTTCTCCCCTCCTTTTCACCTGAAGGCCGTTGATTCTTTGCTGGGATAGAGGTCTATCCATGGTACTAAGCACCCTCTGCTTCACGTGTACATGTCGGCAGTGAATGTTGGAAAGCTACTTTAATGTGTGGGGGTAATTCAGTCAAGCTTGGTCTTGCCCTCACCTTGATGTTCACTGAATAGCAATTGGGAATGGCAAACCTGACTCAGTTTTCCCTACTAAGCCCACAGACACTGAAGCCAATTGTAATAACTGCACTGCTTGCTGCCTTGTTTGAGACCAGCTAAATCAATACATTTGAACCCATGAATTTTATCACAACACTCATCCTGTTGAACATCTGAGAGAAAATTCAAAGAGTTTGTCAAGCACTGTTTTCGTGAACCTAGTGCCTCTTTAGGTGGCCACACTTCCTAACAAGTTGTAGTCTGAGATGTTAGCTCCATTGACGGTTCTGGACTGTCGTCACCATGGAACTAACAGTGTCTGCTGTGAACAGGATTTAGCAGAAATCAAAATGTGAAATAAATATGTAGAATATATATATTCTTGTGATTCACTGGGACATTAAATTAAACAATAAAACGTCTGTAAAAACAAATTATGAATTCCATTAGTCTTTAATTTTAATGTCTCATCCCGCCCTACCTCTGTGACCTCCTTGAACCCTATCACTCCCTTCATTCAGCAACACAAACCAGCCTGCTTCATTTCCCCTACCCTATCGACCCACCGTGGATTTCAACCATCCTTCCCCCTCTCTGGAACTCCATTTGGGATGTTCGCACATGTGAAATATGCTCTATAAATGTAATATGTATTGTATTATACATATTATAATACTTATAATACTTCAGCCACTCTGCCCCCAACCTCTGGAATTCCATCCCCCAATCACTCCGCCTCGCCCCCTCCTTAGCCTCTTTCAAGTCCCACCTCAAAACCCTCCTCTTCGACTATGCCATCGGTCAACCCCTTTCCCCTCCCTTCCTTTCTTCACCCCTGACCCCAGCTCGGATCTGAAATGCTGTACACTGTTCAGTGCCTCGGGACGTCCTCCCGACGTGAAAGGCGCTATACAAATGTAATCTTGTTGTTATTTATGATTTATCAAAATATTCTGTTATAAATAGACATTTTGATGACAGGATAAGGTTCTGTATCAAATGCAAGGATCGTTTTTATTGCTGGGGAGAGGATTGTATAGATAAATCCCTCAGCCCCAAAGGTAGACAAGCAAAATCTCCAGATTAATCCAATACTTTCACTGTTTAATCATGGCCAACTCCTCCCTACTCAGCGGGGTGAAAAACGCAATCTCTCATGACAGACACAAAATCTGCCAATTTTTCTTCCCAATATTCTGGCCCTTCCCAGCCGCAAAGGCAGTGTTCCATAACCCATTTCTCAGGTAACAGAATATCACAAATTTGTTCTTGATTCCTATTAGAAATAATTAATCTCAAACTTGCTAAGAACACCACTTTTGTAAGAATCATTTACCTGCACTCTTGTCCTCCATAGCCAGCTTCTCTTGGCCGTGTAAAATAGCAACAATAAAACGCATTTATATGGTGCCTTTTGCATTGGGATTAAGTCCCAAGATGCTGGACAGCCAAGGGTTGGGTGTTGTGTACCATTCTATAGTACCATCTGGAAATGACAGTGGTGGAGAGCAAAGGGGTTGGGGTGGGAGGATGTCCAGGGGTGCAGTCAAAGAGGAAGATGTTGAGATGGGTCTTGAGACAGTCCCATACAAAGAATTGGTCATTCACTTCATTGGCTGTTTGTGAGACATTGTTGTGCATAAATTGGCTGCTACATTCATCTACAAACTACACAGTCACTACACTTTACAGTACATCCTGTGAAGCAGGATTCTGGATTGGAGTACCAGAGGGTGGAGCCAGAAAGGCTGAAGGCCCAACCACCGATGGTGGAATGGGCAGGGGAGAAGAAATAGAACAGGCCAATGTTCCTATAAATCCAGGAAGACAACTCATATAGTCAACAGGGGGTTCTATCCTAAGGCCAACCTTAAGTTAGTGACCAGAAACTGCAAGGGTTCAGAACTAATTTGATAACATATAAAAATATTTAAGAAGCAATTTTCACTGTTCGTTACAATGAGCATAAGGTGAACATGCCCTCTTCTGTCACATTCATAGGCACATTCATTGGCACATTGCTCTCAAGTTGATGTTCAGCCAATTAACCTGAGTCCTGAGGCTGTGCTGCCTACTTTGCACATGGGAGTTTAACAAAGCCAGCGCTGTATCCCAAAATGACATCAGGCATTCATGAAGATTGATCTACAATTCTATAGTACCATCTGCAGCAAAGACAATATGAATGGCCACAGGTAAAATAAGAACACAGGATGGGCAAGTCATCAATGGAACTGTTTTTTGGATGTCAAAGCCTCTATTGGAAAGATATCATGTCGCAGGATGATCTGTAAACCTCAGGATAATAGTTTCTAATAGTTTCCTACCATTCCTTGTGAGAATTTGCATTCGTTAGAGCCATTATTTCAAATAAAGTCAGTGTGCCACTTCCACAAAGTTGCTCCTCTGTATCAGCCAGACACCTGCCAGTAAAAAGATAGAGGAAACTACAACAAAGAGTAGTAGTTGTTGTTGTTGCAAAGAATATAGTTTACAAACATATCACACTAAAGTGGCTTAAACTAAGTTGTAAAACTAAGAGATTTATTTACCCAAAGGAAAGGTTAATCAGCATTTATTGCTTTGTTCTCTCAAGAAAAGTATTTCTATACACTTAACTAAATGAATTCTATAGTTACGAATACAGTTTTACTGATTTAGGCCCGAAATACATTTGTATCTCCATATAAGGAGTTTTAAGATGGGTTAAGATGCATGAAGGCTACTATATAAATGCATATCATTGTTGGTCTTAATAAAGTTAGAGATTGAGCATGGGGAATACTGTACTTTCTGTTTACAATTGCTATCTTAGAAAACTATAGCAACAACAACCATAACATCAAATTACACTTATATAGTGCCTTTCACATCAGAAAGACAAACAAACACATTGGATACCTTCTACAAAATAACAATGATGTTACTAACTCAAAAAGAACCAGCTGGTATTTCTTTCTACATTCAGCAGTACAGGTTTAAGCGAGAGATAACAACAACATGCATTTAACACTAACTTTCATTTGAAAACTGCCCCTCACACAGGGTAGAATCCCAGAGCGTTTGATAGGGGCAGAGCACAACACTGAGCCTGGGGGAGGTGACTGTAGGCATGATCAAAGAGGAAGGTCATCAGGCGTGACCTAAAAATGGGGAAGGATGGGGCAGGCGGAGTGAATCGGGGTGGGTGCGGGATGTTCCGGAGTTTCGAGGATTAGTGGCTGAATGTGCAGCCGCCGATGGTGAAATGGAGGGTACGAGGGACATGCAGGAGGCCGGAGCCAGTCAAGTGAAGGCAATGGTAGTGGGTTGGGAGCAAGCAGGTCGTAGAGCAAGCGAAGTGCCAGGACATGAAGGGATTTGAAGACGAGTGTGAGGATCTTGAAATAAATCAACAGCTACTTGGGTAGAGAGGTATTAAGGGGTATGGCTAAAGGGCAGATGATTGGAATTAAAAGATTGGTCAAAATCTAATAAAGAGGTGGAACAGGCTTGATGGGCTAAATGGCCCTCTGTTTCTGTTTATCTGTGTTTCAATGAAAGAGAAAGATAGGTCAGCACTCCGGCACGATCCTTCACTAGAATGGAAATAATGGGCTGGAGGAACCCCTGCATAAAATAGAGGACTAAACTGTAAGTAAGTTGGATTAAACGAGGCAAAAGAGATATTAAAGGAGACCGTTTGAAAAATGCTGACATCATGCTGGCAGCTCTGGGGCCATTGACAGATGGTGATGTGCTGTTAGCAGGTGGTGTAGGAAAACAAGCAGAGGCAATATCAGGAAGAAGAAGATGAAAAATCCCAGTCCAAAACAGTTGTCAAAAACAAAGCTGTGCAAGGAGGAAGGAAATGGAGAAGATACCAAAGGTTTGAATATATAAAGCCTGAAACTATTTGCCCACAGGA